GTTTTAGGACAACTTTGGTGAAAGGTTTTGATCCACTTCAAATGTTGACTAGTGTATTTCGCAATAGCCTCATGCAGTTCGGAGTTTTTTCCTTTAGAATTCTGAGATTATAGTACACAATTCTAGCCTTAATTGCAAGTTTATATCTCACACTTTTTCCCCCTCAGAATTTTTTTTTTAGAAAGAAGTCGGAATTGTGAAATATAATCTCCGAATTGCAAGGGCAAAAAAACAATTTGTGAGATAAAAAGTAGCTTTTTTCCCTTTATTTTTTATCCCATGGTGGAAACAAGCTTCCATGTGTAAAACTGTGACCATTTGAATCCTGCGCAATTTCTGTGGGCCTGATAATTATCAATTAAAAAACAAAAAAGAGAAAAGAAATTACTTCTCAGACATGTCCAAGTCGGAATTGTGAAATATAATCTCCGAATTGCAAGGGCAAAAAAACAATTTGTGAGATAAAAAGTAGCTTTTTTTCCTTTATTTTTTATCCCATGGTGGAAACAAGCTTCCATGTGTAAAACTGTGACCATTTGAATCCTGCACAATTTCTGTGGGCCTGGTAATTATCAATTAAAAAACAAAAAAGAGAAAAGAAATTACTTCTCAGACATGTCCAGGAATCTTTCCCTGAAATTTTTATTGTAATCTTACTGGAAGTCATGAGCAAACTGTAACCGCCTGATTATGTCAGTGATGCAGTGCAGTTTTGTGTTGTCACATGTACTCTGAAGACTAAAGGCGTGTGTTTGTGGGCAGATTTAAATGATACCTGCTGTCAGACATAAAAGACTCGGTAAGGGCGTTTGCTTCAAAACATGACTTGGAGATCTTTCAGTGTTTTGTGGGCAGAAAGAAACCCAGCATGTCTGCATCATTTAGGTGTGCCTGCCATGACAAACAGTAATTTGCACATTGTACAGCCTCTCATAAATCCTACTACCAGTTTGAAGTTTCTTTTAACGGAGAATCATGTTTAAATGGTCTTTTTAATGTACGTAGTGTTATTAACAAATGAACTTGACATTTAGTCAGTGGTCTGTCTTGTACCTTCTCTCAAAATGCTCAATGTTTTTATTTCTAAGAACCTATTGAATTGCACAATTTTGAGTTGTGTTTTTATAAAATTGTGACTGCCTGTTGTATCCAAAACGATGGACTACAGTGGACATTCTAACACTCCTGAAGTACCACAGGTAGCTGCGGTCAGTAAACTAACTGGCAGACGTTCAGTAAACCAAACGGATTCAGTGGTGTAATGCATTAACATTGAGGCACTGATCAATTTTTTATGTCCAGGTACTAGTATATTTCCAATAAAGGGGGTGAATTGTATACATACATGCTGTGAACGTTTAATTCAGGTGGTTTTGATTCCAGTTCAATAACATTTGTCTGATACACGCATTTGGAATATAAATATCCTGGACACCAGCAATTCCATCAGATGAGTTACAGTTCTTGCAGTATCAAGGCTGGTCGTCAAATTTTGTAGTTTTTCCAACATTTTTGGCTTATCCTGTAGTAGATTCCTCCTCTTCCACTGCGACTCTGAAGTTTCAGTTGACTCGCTTGTCCAATCCAGAGCGCGTCTTCCAAATCCAGTGTTCCTCTTCCTCAATACTCAATCCCAAAGTCACAAAATAATCCAAAACAAAACTGGTTCCAACTGCATCTTCATCCAGCATCTCCTGTGAGCCAATTGAGACCAAGATGAGCAGTTTGGTGGAGACTCTGGCAGTAAGCAGCAGATAACCTTCTCAGCCTGGTCACCAAAGTCCAATTTAACTTCAAGCAAGCAAAGCAAATGAGGCCCGAACATCTTCTCAAACAAATCCTGGATCCTGCATTTCATCCTGAACTCAGCCTCCATTTTTATGAAGGTCTCTTGACTACATAGGGATGTTCATTATATTAGGTTTACTGTGTGGCACTTTAGGTAAAAGCGTTTGACCACTTACTCAGCTATAAGGGAGCAGGGATTTAAAGCTACACTCTTTAATATATAGGTTTCAAAAGGGGCGATGCAATAGCACAACCATTTTTGGTTCCAGTTTTGGTTTGGTTAACACCTCTTGAACTACAACGGAGAATCATGTTTTAATGGTCTTTTTAATCTTCGTAGTGTTAACAAATGAACTTGACATTTAGTCAGTGGTCTGTCTTGTACCTTCTCTCAAAATGCTCAATGTTTTTATTTCTAAGAACCTATTGAATTGCACAATTTTGAGTTGTGTTTTTATAAAATTGTGACTGCCTGTTGTATCCAAAACGATGGACTACAGTGGACATTCTAACACTCCTGAAGTACCACAGGTAGCTGCGGTCAGTAAACTAACTGGCAGACGTTCAGTAAACCAAACGGATTCAGTGGTGTAATGCATTAACATTGAGGCACTGATCAATTTTTTATGTCCAGGTACTAGTATATTTCCAATAAAGGGGGTGAATTGTATACATACATGCTGTGAACGTTTAATTCAGGTGGTTTTGATTCCAGTTCAATAACATTTGTCTGATACACGCATTTGGAATATAAATATCCTGGACACCAGCAATTCCATCAGATGAGTTACAGTTCTTGCAGTATCAAGGCTGGTCGTCAAATTTTGTAGTTTTTCCAACATTTTTGGCTTATCCTGTAGTAGATTCCTCCTCTTCCACTGCGACTCTGAAGTTTCAGTTGACTCGCTTGTCCAATCCAGAGCGCGTCTTCCAAATCCAGTGTTCCTCTTCCTCAATACTCAATCCCAAAGTCACAAAATAATCCAAAACAAAACTGGTTCCAACTGCATCTTCATCCAGCATCTCCTGTGAGCCAATTGAGACCAAGATGAGCAGTTTGGTGGAGACTCTGGCAGTAAGCAGCAGATAACCTTCTCAGCCTGGTCACCAAAGTCCAATTTAACTTCAAGCAAGCAAAGCAAATGAGGCCCGAACATCTTCTCAAACAAATCCTGGATCCTGCATTTCATCCTGAACTCAGCCTCCATTTTTATGAAGGTCTCTTGACTACATAGGGATGTTCATTATATTAGGTTTACTGTGTGGCACTTTAGGTAAAAGCGTTTGACCACTTACTCAGCTATAAGGGAGCAGGGATTTAAAGCTACACTCTTTAATATATAGGTTTCAAAAGGGGCGATGCAATAGCACAACCATTTTTGGTTCCAGTTTTGGTTTGGTTAACACCTCTTGAACTACAGTAGTCAACATTTGAAGTGGATCAAAAAAGTTCATCAAAGTTGTCCTAAAACAACAACGGGTATTGTTTGGGTTTTAGGACAACTTTGATGAAAGGTTTTGATCCACTTCAAATGTTGACTACTGTATGTTTTTATCAGTGTGAAGAACATTTTAATGATATAAAAGAACCCTTTTCCACTATAAATAAAATTTTGTGGAATGGAAAGGTTCCACAAAAAGCTGTAGGTTCTTCATGGAACCATCAATGCCAATAATGAACCTTTAGAACTTTTAAGAGTGTGTGAAGAATATTTTAATAATCTGAAGAATCATTTTCCACTGTCAAGAACCTTTTGTGCAATGAAAAATTTATGGATTTTAGGTTCTTCATAATGCCAAAAATTGTAAAAAGTAAACAATAAATAGTGTTTGCTTTTTAAAGAGATGTACATTAAGTACCCTCAAAAGTATTTTTAGTTAAGCTCTGCCCTGAAATCCACTGAATACTGTGCTGTAACAAGAACCATCAGCTTTTCTTCACAATTCATATGGTATTTTTCTGTAGCCTATGCCAGTAATAGTAAATCCTGCAAGTGGCACAGAAATGACAGACTGTAAGTGTCTTGTCTATGTCTAGATCTTTGGCTAAAAACACCAAAGCCAAAATGCAAGACTGCACCCAGAGAATTCCCGATAGAAAGATTTGCAGGCTGTTTTTAAGAGTCATTCTATAATTAGGGGTACATGTCATGTCCATGGACTGGAATTTTACTAATTTTTCAATAACTTTTGGGGGAAGTCGTGGCCTAATGGTTAGAGAGTCGGACTCGTAACCCAAGGTTGCGGGTTCGAGTCTCGTACCGGCAGGGGTTGTAGGCGGGGGGGGGGGGTGTGC